GAGAGGCGGAGAAGGCAAAGAAGAGAGAGGAGAGGAGAGAGGGACGAGGGGGGAGAGAGGAGCGAGCGGGGCAGCGAGGCAGAGAGAGAACGAGAGAAAGGCAAGGAGAATACAAAATCATGCAACGACGTCATTAATCGCTTATCAATAGTACAAACAGTCAATGTTACTTACAAGATCAGAAATATTGTTTGTTGTTTATTACGTAATGATGTAGTATAATCAATAAATGATTACATGTAGTATTGAAATCACATTTGTCCGACTCTCTGAATTGCTGACATTACGTCTGCGTCGCAACCAACTGTATAGAGATATATGTACTGTAGAGTGTAGCTTGTATGTTATAATTTAAAGTATAAATAATCAAGAAGACGTAATCCTGTCTCGTTCCAATCGTCACGTTCAAATGCTCTGCTACCCCAGCCAATCACGCACACAAACACTCGTATTTGAATTATTGCGCGAGAAATGTACGTCAGCATCTGTACAAGTCTCCATCTAACGTCCGTAACCTATCTGCTTAGTACCCAACCTAACTATTTCTCATCTGTATGCTAAACGCCAAACCCTGCTTCTATGTACAACTAAATCTATCTACAATTACTAATTCTCGCCACACGCACAATTACCTTGAATATCCTCCTCACTATATTGTCAATAAATTACATACATTGCATATATGATAATAATACAGCATTAAAATTCAGAACATCCTACACATCGGCACAGACGACAGACGGCACTACATATACGCGCCCCGTGTTTCATATACGCTATGACGCTTCACGTCGCCGTTATTGAGTGTGTCGACACAGCTGGTGGAATCACAACGTCAAGGCACGTGTATATACATCGCCGTGTGTAATTTGTCAGCGTCCGTGGCACCCGGCATATCAGAAGTATGCGTGGAATCGCTGCTCGTGGCCATTTATATACACAACGTTTAAATATCACGCACGCCGTGCGCGTAGAATCCATTTCCCACCACCTTCACCGATTTTTAAATTAATACATACAATATACAATCATAGATAATATTATAATTATAAGCTGATAAAAAAACCTAAAAAATTTCCGGGCAACCACACCGAGACACGATCCCCTGATCTGCGTCTCGGGGGTTAAAAAGCCCGTGGAAACAGCCCGCGGTTCCGCACGCGGACGCTACCAACCACGCCAGCTAGACAAGCGGCGAGATTCTAAGATAGTATGCGGTTTACGAGCCTAGGCACCCGACTCGTGACGGGAACGAAGCCACAGCGCCCATATATAGACTGGAACGACGTTCACGAATCAGACAAGCTCATAGGTATATAGGCGTACATATAACGATTTGTCTACACAAACGCGGCAGCACCTAGCTATGATTAGACTGTATCTTCGTGGATTGTTTGTAAATACTATTGGAATTGCTGGTGTTAAAAACCTATTATTGCTGTTTCTGTCACCGTCGTGGTTGGTCATAACGGAACGTGCCTGGCAGTAAAGGTACAAGACCCCCGGGGTGTCACCCCTGTGGCATAATTATGGACTGATCAACCACCCACAAACTTAATCACACTGTAGAGTGCTAGCTGCCTACACATATGCTGCTGCCTCATTTGACATATGCAGGAGTCACACGATTCTTCCATACTAACTAGTTCATTCCAGAGCACGGCCTCATGGAATTACTGTATTTTTTCAGCAAATGTCCAAAAAATATTTGGCAGAAGTGCAACCGCATGAATCTTCAAAATAAGCACATGTGTTATTGTTAATATCTCCTGCCTCCTCTCCTCTCTGCTCCCCGCCTCTCTCCTCCCCTTTCCTCCTCTCTCCACCCCTCCCCTCCTCGCTCCACCCTCCCCTTCTCTCTCCTCCTTCCACCCCTCCCCTCCTCTCTCCACCCTCCTCTCTCCACCCTCCTCTTTCCACCCCTCCCCTCCTGCCTCCTCCTCATGCCGCAATACATATGACGTAACGAGTGCAGACGGATGTACATTACATGAGCCCGCAGCGCACCTTAGCGACAGGTTCGTTGATGGAGGTGGGCCTAGGCCACCCTCTCCTGCTCTCTCTTTCCGGCACTAACAAGCGGTGTGTGCTTTGCGAGCGGGGCCGCGAACACACCAACTGCACCGCCAACTACCTGCTGGACAGACCCATCACCCAGAGCGAGGGGGACATCGCTCGCACGAACGCGCTCTTCCTGGCACAGTTGAACCTGTTCGTCGACCTGCTATGCACCGACGGGAGCCACGCGATGGTGAAGGGTACCGATGAAGCGTACGCTAGCCTAGGCGCGGCGAACAGGGTCGAGAAGCAGGAGGACATGCCACATCACAAGCGGCGGACGGCGAAGAAGATCTGCAATGCTGGACCAGCTGAGGGAGCAGGTTGGCAAGATGAGGGTGAGTGAGTCCGCAGGCTGCGGCGACAACGATGATGATGGTGGTGATGATGATGGTTGTGATGATGGTGATGATGATTATGATGACGACGACGATGATGGTGGTGGTGATGATGATGATGATGATGATCACAACTTACTTTGTTTTTATACTTTTATTTTTTGCTTTTATAGTTCCGTGTTAGTTACGTGTGTTCAGGGCAGCAACAACTGTATATTAGTATTATAGGTCATGTGTGTGTCTGTAATATAATATAATATAATATAATATAATATATATACACATATATATATTTATTTATTTATTATACACAGTATATATATATTATATTATTAAATATTGCTAATGCATCGTGCTGTATCTGGCTCTCAGGATGAGATGATGAACTTGAAGCTTGAGCATCGCAGGCTCACAGATGTCGCTCAACAACTGACACAGCTTCGACTCCATCGACCACCAACTCAGCCTATCTGACATATCCGCAACGGAGTGTGTGACATATCCGCAATTGTGTTGTCATGATGTCGAACGAAAGGGGGGGCAGGAAGAACGATGTTCTCCTGCGTCTTTCTTCGGCTGCTAGGTTAAATACAGCAGAACCTCACTTCCACAATACTACATCAATTTAATTTCTGTCGATTACCAATCTCAATTATGAACAAACGATGAGCTGAATAAGAGACAGGGAATCGATTACATTTTTCTAATCTTCTTTCGTTGTTCGTCGGCAGAATTGTCTATAGGAGATGGTGCCGAGATATCGGTGTCAGTGTCCATAGGTGGGCACACGGACTCAAGCAAGTGGGCGCATGTAAGTGCATCTCTCTCGCTCCCACTCCACCCTCTCTCTCTCACCCCCTCACTCCCTCTCACTCTCTCTCTCTCAATCTTATCTGTCTCTTTCTTTCTCACTCTCTCTCTCTCAATCTTATCTGTCTCTTTCTTTCTCCTTCGCTCTCCCACCCCTCTTTATTGTGTAGCATCCAAGTCTTTGGAGTATATTTATTTGTGGTCAGAACGGATTCATATTTGGTGTCAGTTTGCATTTGTCAGTATATGTTCAATTGTAATTTGTAACTGCTTTATATCTGGCATTATTGCGAATTTTTGAGAATGTTTGATCGTAGCAATTTTGTTTTTCTTGTCATTTCACATGTTGTGGTGTGTTCAATCTTTCTCCTCTTCCGCAGAATAGTTTTTAGCGTAACTGTTTCTTAGATGGCATCACTGCAAATTGCACGTTTGCTCGTAGCAATTTTGTGTATGTAGTCCGGGAGCCATGGGGTCATACCCTGCACTGAGAGTTAAAGTGTTTTTTTTGGCTGATTCTTGTAGACTAGGTGTTGGTCTTCACTTTCTAGGTGACCTTTTGTATTGAGAGCGTCAACTCAAAAATTGGCGAAAAATTAGGGGTGGGGAAAACAAAAAGTCTACTAGATCTGTTGTTTTTAAAGCTAATGGATCATGTGACCACTCAAAATGTTGGTATTTAAGAGCTCTTTCTAATGATAGGTGAATAATGAGGTCACTAATTTTTGACCTTTCTCGAAATCTTGAATATTGCTTTTATCACCCCTGCCTTGGTGAGAGAAGAGGAGGGGGAGGAAGGGGGAGGGGGACGGGGGAGGGGGGACGGGGGACGGGGGGGAGGGGGGCCGTCCGTCCGTCCCCGTTACGTCTCCCTCTCCTTCTCCTCTCTCTAGAGCGGGGGAGGGGGAGAGGAGAGGGCGAGGATCGAGAGGAGAGCTCCCCCCCTCCCGTCCCCGTCCGCCTCCCCCGTCCCTCCCTTTCCTCCCCTTTCTCCTTCCTCTTCTCAACCAAGGCAAGGTGATAAAAAGGGGGGGCCGCTCAAGGCCGGGGGGGCTCCTCTCGTCCCGCTCTGTCTCCTCTCTCCTCTCCGTTCTCCTCTCTCTTCCTCTTTCGCCTTCCTCTTACTCCCTATTCTCTCTCCTCTCCCACTCCTCTGCTTCCTTCGCCTTCTCTCTCCCCTCCTCTTCCAGCCTTCCTCCACCTCTCCT